AAGGTCCAGAGTGCAAGTAGAGCTGCTTAGAACCAGACGAACCCGTTTGGGGGAGGTGAGATGGGGTTCTAAAACTTCTCACCTGTGTGCTAGGCCGGGGTTGATTGGGGCACGGAGAGAGCTGGGGTGTCAGAGGGATTTTGCTTGTGAGGCTTCAGGCTGGCCAGGCAGGCAGCTGAAGTGCTCTGTGTGACTGGTTTGTGGCCTATTTGGGAAGGGTCTCCAGTCAAGGGCTATAAGGAGTCCCGAATTTGAGCAATTCGCCCTGAGCGGATGATCTCAGTGGGGCCCAGACCCAGCCCGGTCCGTTACAGTGGCGTAGTCGGCAGGATCCACAGATCTTGGTCAATTGAGCTTTGGATCAGGACCCCGCGCTGTCTAAATTTGATTTTTGGGTATTGAGAATTTGGTTGGTTAAAGAGCCACTGCAAAGAGTCAGCCGCAGTATGAGGGTCTGGACAGAGAGGCTCTGAAGGGTTTGTGCTCAGAGAGAGGCATTGACTTTATGAAGAAGGCTAATAAGCAGCAGCTGACGACCTTGCTGATGCGGAATGACCAGCGGGCAAGAGAGCAGTTCCCACCCGATGCTACAGATGTTGTTGCAGAAGAAATTAGAAAGCAGCAAGCCTTGAAGAAAATGGAGCTGGAACAGGAGAGCACCCTTGCGGAGCTGCGTCGAAAGGTGAAGGAGGCGGATGTCGAAAGGGAGCAACAGGTGAAGGAGGCGGACTACGCACGGCGAATGCAAGAGCTGGCGGCGGCGGAAAGTTCCAAGCGGCTCCAACTCCAGATACCTGAGGCTCAACAAAAGGTTCAGCAACCTGAGAGCCCATCTCCACTTGCCAGCAAGAGGTGGGAAAGGGTCTATGCCATCTACAAAGATAACGAGGACATTGAGGAGTTTCTGGCCACCTTGAAGTGCATTTGCAGTGTGAACTGGATCCCAGACGAGTGGCGCATGCCTGTCCTGATGACCAGACTGACTGGCAAGGCTAGGGAGGTATTCAATGACATGGGGGAGGAGGAAGCTTTAGACTACGGGCAGTTTAAAGACTATGCACTGAAACGGTTCAGGGTTACCCCTGAGCCCCACTGGGTTAAATTTCGGAGCTTCAAAATGTCCAGTGATTGTACATACGTGGAATGTGCCCATAAGCTGATGGGCTTTGTTAAAAGGTGGGTGATGGGGGCAAAAGTAAATGGGAATTATGAGCAACTGCTGGATTTGCTCACCCTGGAGCAGTTTCTGAATGTGGTGCCTGACCAGGTCAGGGCGGCCGTGTGTGACCGGGAGCCGGAGTCGGTCCTACGGGCTGCAGAGATTGCAGACGCCCACACCCAGAACAGGGCGCAGGATGGGCACAGACCCCTGGGGAAGACTCAGAACCTTTCCCCACAGTTTAGACCACTGGTCCCCAATGCGGTGCCTGCGGGCACCATGGCGCCCACCGGAGCATTTGTGTGCCCACTGAAACATCTGGGCTGGCCCCGCCCCCGGTGCGCGGCACATGCATGGTGCCGGCCCTGGGCTCAGGGCGCATGAACGGCCCCACCCCTGGGCACCCGGCAGCCACGAAAGGTTGGGGACCACTGGTTTAGACGTAGGGAGGGGTTCAGGAGCAGACCCAGCCCTGAATCCAAGGGGACTCAGAGAAGCCCCGAGAGCAGGGGTGCCCTCCCCAGGGATAAGCAGGCCAAGTGCTATCACTGTGGCAGGTCTGGCTGTATAAGGCCTGACTATCCAGACCTAAAGAGCAGCCCGAGGCCGGCAGCTCCCGGCCGCTCCATAAGCACCAACCCTCTCACGGTGCGCACACAAG